TCCCTCAGTGACTGAAACTTGAACATAAATTTGTAATATGAATGGTTCTTCCAAAGAATCTCACATACTCTAATTTGGCAGTGATGGGTAACCCTGTAGGATTTTGAGGCAAAGACTTTAAAATGAAGAATAAAGTGAATATTAAAGAGAACACAGGCTCTTTGTGGTCTTCTGAATTAGTACATGGGAGGATGTGCATAGGTTATATACAAATACTACACCACTTTATATCAGAGACTTGAGCATCCATAGCTTTTGGTATTTGAAGGGGTTCTTGGAACAAATCTTCCACCGACAACAAGAGGCAGCTATATGTGTTAAATCTTGGTCACCTAAAAATTTGGATGTATTTCCTTCTTCTATCATGTGTATATATATATGAAACCGACTCTGATATTTACATGGAGATAGCTGGTCTAATGGGAAATAACACTATTTCCCACTGAGGCTGAGGAACAACATCTGTCAGAGGTGAGAAGATTGGAAGATTGGATTGGGCCCGGAAGTATTAATATTTGAATCTTGATGAATTGCAACAGTGGCTTCAGCCAATTCTGTGAGGTGCTTTGGGGCCGGGTTGGCTCTTCAGAGTTGTCCAGCCTTGAGACAAGTGGCCCAGGCCTCTAAATGTCCCCAGCCCGTCTAGTCATTGGAAAGGAGATGTCTCTGGACATGGAACACAAGTTTGGGTGACATGGCTTTTGTTAGCTGAGGGCAGTCCCTGGAGGAGGATTCAGCTGCTGACAGTCCAGCAGCTGGAAGGGTGAAAGGCACAGCCCGAAAAGAGTATATGGACAGCCATGGAGAGAATAGGAGTTGGCCTAGGACCTGTCTGCTGCTCTATAAAATAATCTTTAAAAAATGAGTGACCGAAATAGCATTGAGAAGATGCGACTTGAGGCAATTGGTGAGTAGTTGTTACTATACTTAAAATAGTTAATAAGGCTGAAGGTAGAGAGATGAGTTATAATTGGACATGTCTCCTTTTTACGTTTTCTGACAAAGCAATCCAGATTCTTTTGCTGGAAGAGAGATGTTTAAATGGCATAAGGCATTTCCATGATTGTCTGGAGCTGTGGTTGGGAAGCCCAAACAGGCAACGGCTGCAGATCAATTGCTTCACTGAAAAAAATTTTATTTGATATTAACTTCTTAGGCAGGACTTTGGAAAGTGGCCCAGTTCTCTACTGACTTACCAAATGCCTGGAAAATGAGACTTAAAAACAACAATGTAAATCAAAGGGTTAGGGCTGGGAGGACAGCTAGAGTTCTTGAAGATAAAGCTTTTCCTGTGCAGTTTGGTATCACAGCTTGATGAGCAATGCATTTGTGAGGTTGATCCTGCTTAAGAGTAGGATGCAGAAATTAGGAAAGAAATTAAGAGTTCTAAAGGGGATATTTATAGATTTAGGAAGGTAAATAGTTCAAAATGTCAACTCTGAAAATTAAAAAACATCTCAAAAGTTTTATGTTCATCATTATGGAAATAGTGTTTATCTTTTATCCAAGTCATAATCACAAGATATTATTGAGATATTTGTGACATATTGAAATAGTCTTGGGCTCCAGGATATTCAAGGTCAGAAAACTGTATCATAGCTGGGATCATTGAGAGAAAAGAGGGTTTTTAGCCTGGACTCCTTCTAACAAGAGAGCTGATCATGGCCTTTGAATATGAAATTCTGACATGCACAAAAGAAAATAAACTTATTTACATTGTGTTGCTCCAGAGAAAAGAACAGGAAGCAATGAGAAGACACAGGGAGATAGATTTTGATTCAACCTAAGAAAGCACCTTCTGACATTAGGATCAGGGCGTCCTGGGGAAGTGGCTCCCCTTCCACTGGAAATCCTCACGCAGAGACAGGTGACTCTCTGCGGGGATGCCGAGGAGGTGTTTTCCAGACTGAATGGGACAGCAGGCCATATATCTGCTAAAGGCCTTCCTTATCCTGGGATTTTATTACTCTGGGTCCTCAGAGACGAATTTTTCAGCCTGATTCCTTTTTGTTTTCAGTCATCACCTGACTAGGTTGGTGTGTAAAGGGGGCTCTTGTTTTACATGGCCTCCTCCCTTGTATATCTGATGTCAGTGCAGCCCAGAGAAGAGGGTAGGGCCTTGTAATAGAAGAGTATGAATTTGGAATCAGGCAGCCTTACGTTTAAATTCCAGCTGTTATGTTGCCTCATGTAAGTCATGCCACTTTTCTAACCAATTTACCTGCATAATACTTAAGTTAAGTAATACTTAAGTAATGATACTTAAGTTAGGTGACAGGAATTATTTGAAAGTGCCTAGCTTCCAGCAGGTGTCCACAAATACAAATTTCTCTTATTCCAGGACTCTACATGTTTCTCTTCTGATTGTAGTTATTACATGATCACACATAATATTCAAGAACTCAGCTCCCTCTGGTACTTCCTTCTGCCAAAACTGAGGCTCAGAGATTCACTGAGGCTCAAAAAAGACAGGAAGGAAAATAGAGAGGCCAAGAGGCAAAGCACAGCCTGGCCTGGTATCTCTTACTTTCTTTAGAACCCAGCACATCACCTTTCCGACTAAGTCGCCTGCCTTAGTCCTTACTTCTTTTTATAACATCATCATTGTCCACATCATCTGGCCCCTGGTCTCATCTATCTTGGGCAGGCGGCTGAAAAGTCAAGCCAGTGTCCCTGGGAGATATTACCAGGCTTCCTGCAGGGAAGACAGGAGCATGGATGACTGGAAGAGCCAAGAACGGGATGGAGTATGGTGCAAGGAACGGGGGCAGGTTGAGCATCCCCATCACACTGCGAAGTCTCCTGAGATGGGACCTCCATCCCTGTTGCCTCTCCCAGTACCCTGCACATGCCTGATGTTGGGGGAATAGATGGATATGGAAATCTGTCACTTTAGTAGAGTTTGGGAAATGCTCTTCTAAAAATTTAAAAGAGATAACAAAACCCTGATAGGACATTTTAAATGAGAGAGAAAAATGTAAATACTTACAAGGAAATCAATACAGTTCCCCTGTGATTATATTGTTGAAAATAACAGAGACGCTTTTCATGACTTGCCCAGCTTTTGTTTGTATAAATCTGAAGCTATGACATGTGTCACTATGAGGGAAGACCCTTTTACCGGTTCCATGTGCTGATGCCCTGGATATCCCAGGGTCTGTTACTGATAGCTGAGACCTGCAAGCCTCTCTGGATGGCTGTTGTGGGGAAGGGAGCTGCTTCCATTATTTCTCACTTCTCATTGTGACATCACCATTGTCTACCTGATCTGCCTCTGGTTCATTCTGCAGGCCCCAACACCTTAGGGAGGTGGCTGAAAAATAGAATCAGTGTCCGCAGGAGATAGGGAAGTCCTTCTGCATTGAAGGGAACTGGGTTCTTGGTATCCTCTCCTATAGTCCTGGGGCAATAGCTAACTGCCTGATGTGTAATAAAGAAAAAAAAACAAAAACCCCTGAATTCATGCCTCAAGACTGAGCAGACTCTGTGATACAGTTTATTCCCCAGAGGCCCCATGGGATTAGGCTGACGCCCAAGTGCATCAGAGACCACATCCTTTTTCACTTTTCTTCCCCCTTTCCCAATATGGCCCCCACCAACCCCTACAAGTTTCTTGTGAGCTCACTCCATTAATACATATCTTGCACAAACATCCCCTTCTCAGATTCTGCTCCAGGGAACTGTACCTAAGACACTGTCACCATCTATCTCTCAATGCTACATACCTGTCATCCCACACAGCAAAAGGAATCCCACCTAATAGGATAAAAGCACAACTGTAGACACACTCACTGCCCCCCCAACGAGGAGACAAAAGTCTCATCTGGAGCCAGGTGCGGTGGCTCACGCCTGTAATCCCAGCACTTTGGAAGCCGAGGTGGGTGGATCACGAGGTCAAGAGATCGAGACCATCCTGGTCAACATGGTGAAACACCGTCTCTACTAAAAATACAAAAAATCAGCTGGGCATGGTGGCACCTTCCTGTAATCCCAGCTACTCAGGAGGCTGAGGCAGGAGAATTGCCTGAACCCAGGAGGCGGAGGTTGCAGTGAGCCGAGGTCGCGCCATTGCACTCCAGCCTGGGTAACAAGAGCGAAACTCCATCTCAAAAAAAAAAAAAAAAATAGTCTCATCTGGAGAGGACTTTTTGAAACCACTGTCCTTGGAGCCTGTCACCTCTGGGTGAGACCATTTCCCACTATTTCTGTTTTAATTTTTTACATTTTCAAAATGAGAAAAACAGTGGGTGCAATGGCTCACATCTGTAATCCTAGCACTTTGAGAGGCTGAGGTGGGAGGATCACTTTAGGCCAGGAGTTTGAGACCAGCCTGGGCAATATAGTAAGACCCCATCTTCACTAAAAAAGAAAAAAATTAACTGAGGATGGTGGGATGCACCTGTAGTCACAGTTACTCTGGAGGCTGAGGTGAGAGGGTCTTTTAAACTCAAGAATTTAAGGCTGCAGTGAGCTGTGACTGTGCCACTGCACCCCAGCCTGGGTGATGGAATGAGATCCTGTCTCAAAAAAAAAAAATTAAATTAATAGGCCTGGCCCAGTGGCTCACACCTGTATTCCCAGCAGTTTGGGAGGCCGAGGTAGGTGGATCATCCAAGGTCAGGGGTTCGAGACCAGCCTGGCCAACATGGTGAAACCCAGTCTCTACTAAAAATGGAAAAATTAGCTGGGCATGGTGACAGATGCCTGTAGTCCCAACTACTCAGTAGGCTGAGGCAGGAGAATCGCTTGAATCCAGGAGGCAGAGGTTGCAGTGAGCTGAGATAGCTCCATGGCACGCCAGCCTGGGTGACAAGAGTGAAACTCAATCTCAAAAAAAAAAAAAATTAATAAAGGAGGAAGGTTGAACAAATCACCAAGATCATGTCACATATTGCTTGAGACTGGAGGCTTCTACAGGGACGATGAAGTACATGAAAGGACTGACAACTCTCATAAATGTTAATCTGCTGATTAATCTATTTGGTAACAAAGTAAATTACCTGGCCAGCCAGAAGGGCTGTGGCAGACTCTCCCCTCTGGGAGAATTTTGCTTGGCCACTGTTCTTCCAGAGCATCTGGGAGGTTTTCTCTGTGGAGGTGGTACAGGGAGGTGTTAGTCGCTCTCAGCTTCCCCTTACCAACATTGTTTATACCTATGCTTAAACATTTCGGGGGCTGTTAGTTTGAGGGATTTTTCTTGCACAACCATTCATATAAAACCATGGTCAGCTGTCTGCCAGTTTCATTTTTGGGAACTGTATCTGTCAGGAATGTTGCTGACACATCTTTGTGACTCTCCTGGCTGGCTACGCTCCCAGGGCTGAGCCATACCTGTGAGTATTCTGATTTTTAGAGGAAATTCTGGGGCTCCACCTATTTTCATGATTTTTTTCCTTAATGACCTCAGAGCATGAGCAGGAAATTATGGATTGGACTATTGGCATGGATTTCAGGGTATATTTCTTCTCAAATCTGCTTTGGAGTCTTGCCAAAATGTTGCATCACAGCCAATTGAGTATTTCAAGGGGAGGCATCATTTTTACTTGGTGATGGAGAAGGTACATTATGAAGGGCTTGCTAACAGTTCTGGCTCCTCCTATGTATCCTCATTCCAGTTGCTGGTAATCTTCAGTTTTTGAATCAGTTCACAATCTCAATCTCTCTCTCTCTCTCTCACACACACACACACACACACAGCCCTGTGGCCACCACAGTTTGGCCAAACTAATAGTGGATGCTGTGCTCTGGCCCTCTGTGTCAGTGGGCTGTCCTCTATTCTCTCTTCTGTTGACTTCCGCTGAGCAGTGTGGACTGAGGCTTGCCATGTCTCTTACCTTTACCAAAAGCTACGAAAAATCAATGACTCAATCCGATATTCAGGCATTTAAAATGATGAATTCCTCTAAAATCTCACTATCTGATGAAGTAAGACGTCGGATTCCCAAGAAACAAGACATACTGCCATAGTCAAATGTGCATTGTGGCTCTCTATTCCAGGACAGTAACTTCTTGCTGGTCCCAATCCATTTTTTCTCTGTAACCCCATTTTGAATACCAATTTTCATATTAGTTTCAGTGATTTGACAGCAAGTGATAGAAATCCTCACAATGTGGTAGAAATCTTCAACATCTAGAGAAGACTAAAATAGGATACAGTAGAATCTCCTGGAATTTTAGGGTAAGAGTGAACTTAAGGCTCTGTTCCATTTTGTGTTGCCGGGAAAACAACTCCAAAACGCAGTGGCATAGAATGACCGTTTTATACGCTTCTGAATGCTGTCGTTGAGGAATTCAGACAGGACATGACAGGGATGGCATCGTTTGCATGTGCTCCACAATGTCTGGGCCTCCGCTGGAGGACTCAGAGCCTGGGGATATGGAGGGCACCTGGGAACTAGAGTCCTGGAGATGTCATCATCTCTGTGTGTGTTGTGGTTGATGCTGGTTGTCAGCAGACCCTAATTTGGGGCTGTCACAGGAACATCTACATGACCTCTTCATGTGGTTGGGCCTCCTCACAATATGGTGGTCTAAGATGGTCAGACTCTTCATAGAGTGGCGCAGAACTCCAAAGGCAAATGCCTCAGCCGAGAAGGCAGAAGCTGACTTGCCTTTTGTGACCTAGCTTTAGATGTCACACAGCATTAATTCTGCTACATTCTCTTGGTTACAAGCGAGTCACAAGCCCAACCAGACTCAAAAGGAGGTGAACTGGACTCTTAAAGGGAAAATGAATGGCAAGGTCTTAGAAGAGCATAGGGAATGGGAGATGATACTGGTTTAGCCATCTTTGGAAAACACAATCTAGAGCTTCCCCATGATATAAAAATCAGTATTTGGAAAACCGTCAGGTACATGAACAGTTTCTTTACATATTCTTTCATACTTCTTTCCATTTCTATTATGAGTTGCTTTTCAGGTCATCTGTGGGATAGAGGAGAAGATGATTCTATGATCTTCAATATTATGTTTTTAAAATTGGGACAGCAATCCCTCATAAGTTTTTTTGGGGAAATTAGTGAGATATTCTAGTTAAACAAGCCTATTATACACTAAATTAAGGTTGTACAGCTCTAATTACAAACTACCAAGAATTACAATCTAATTTTTTCATATGGGATCTGGTGCCCTCCCTGGTTTGGACAGGTGTGCTGGGACCAGGGTCATGGGCCCAAGCACGAGCTCAGGGGCTCTCTTTAAGCCAGGCGGACACTCCATAAGGGCCTGCCACATTTCTTTTGCATCGCTTTGCTTCCCCAGCTTATTTTAAAACTGTGTTGTCAGACACAGAATTTCTATTCTCCCATTAAAAGTATGTACCCTCTTAGAATTCCCCAAGTGCCCTTTGCAATTAGCAAAACCTGTGTAAATAGTTAATGAAACTCATCAGACTCACAGTAGAGATGGCAATGCTGCTTTGGCGTAGTACTTTGTGGGTATCAGTTTATTCTTCTTTCTTATATCATTTTTGTTTGAGGCAGGCCTAGGATAAATCTTGAGGTTGGCAAACTTGCCTCAGTTTTCTTTGTATGATTACTTTTATTATCCATGCCAGACATGGTGTGTGAGTATGCGTGTATGTACACACACACACACACACACACACACAAACACACACACACAGACACACACACACAGACACACACACACACACACACATACACACACAAACCCTTAGGGATTCAGTGCCCAGAGTCTTAGACTTCATCCTTTCCTGAAAGTCATAATGGCCATGTTTTGGCCTGCTCTACCTGGGCAGTGTTCATCATCTCGAACTTGCTTTGATAAACAAATTCTAACCTGGTTCCAAGTAGGTTGTAATATCAAAAAGAACATCAGAGACATTCTATTGTTGATAGCCATGATACGGTAGAGTATAAATTCTTAAGGCGGCAGAGACTTTAGTTTGTTTTATTAATTGCTGTATCAGTAGCATTTGGAACAGTGCCCAGCATTATAGTGTCTGCTCAATGAGTACTTGTTCCATGTGAAATACACAGGTTCATGTGCTATCCCTCAAAGGGATATTTGCAATTTTGTGCTCAGCGTTAAAAACTTAAAAGAATGAAAGACTGCCAGTCATAAGGTTTAAGATAAGAGATATTTCTGGGGGAGATGCAGCTCACAGTGTCCCTTAAGTAACAATTATGGAGCTATCTTCACCCATTAATGCTTTTGCACATGCTAAACCCACTTTCTCCATTCATATTATTGGTACTACCTGCTCAAATTTAGTAAGAGAAGGTGGGTTTTGGGATTTGGTGATGAGTGCAATTTGTGGACCAGTGACTCACCTCGTACTTGTTTGCATGACTTGAGAGTCTTGGATTTTGCCTGAACCATGAATGGAATAGTTTTTCTGTCAAGGGTGGCCTAGAGTTTGTTCCCCATTTGGTCCCCTTGACTTTCCTTTTCTTCTTTATTGGAGACAGAATTAGAAGCAGAAACTAAGGGATGTGTTTTTATATGACTTTGTAAGGCTTTGGATATAGAAAATGTAAATTTTGGGCTTAGGTAACAAAGTTTTGTACACAATTGAGCAGAAGGGAATTGAGTTCATTTCTACTGAAACCTTGCATTGCTCTGGCCCACCCTGCATGGTCTCTTTGGAGATCAGATTTCTGCTTTTGTGGCTCAGTACTGAACTAAGGGGCATCACCAAGCCCCAAAGCTGTGCTGGCAACAGTTTCTGAGACAAGGACTAGCATAACCCATGGCTCCTTCAGCACAATGGATGTTTGAATTTTTAGGTATATACTTAGACTATACAGATAAAAAATCAGAAAGAGGTTTGCAGAGTCACTAATTATCAATAAAATTATCAAAGAAGAATTCTGAGTTTCATGCTAACATTTATTATTTTATTCTCACTTACATTGTCAAATTAATTTTCTGTGACCACTTGCATCTTTATAGCATCAATTTTCAGTATTTTTTTTCCATAAAGCACTGGTCTCATACTATACTCCCTAAAAACAATTCTGCTATTGAATAGGTTTTTGGGGAGTGCTTCATACTATATTACTCTCTTGGACATTTTCAATGCTCATTAGCACATTAAATCATAAAGAAATACCTAGTAAGGAAATACTGGTCTTTGTTAACCTACAACGTCTAAAACTTACATGACCATAGTAAGTCTTCGACTGCATTTTTCCCTCCAAGAAATCTTTCATATGGAAAACTAACAGACTCAGACCACTATTAGAAAAACTCTGTACTAGGGAGGTCATTAGTTTATCTTCTTTAAATGCAAGTTTTGTTTCTAGGCTTAGAAGAATTTCTAAGGAAATGCTTTTCTTATGGACACTCACTGTTTCTGTTACGATATTGAGTCACTGCTGTGGATGGATTAGGCACCTGTGCAAGATTTTTACATATGTCTTCTTGAATGCTCACAATATTCTAACTAGGAGAGTATGAGAATAGCTATTTCACCAATGAGGAAATTGAGCATGGTGGAGGTTAATTAATTTGCCAAAAGTCCAAGTATATCCATGTCTGTCTGTCTATACACTTTTGACAATGCAAAATTGCCTTTCAAATAATGCACTTTTTTGCAACCCGGGTCACCCCCAGATGGTCAGCCAATGGACACACATAGGTCCTTTTTTACTGCTTAAATGAGTAACTTTTTCTTGTCATCATTCCTTATATAGTTCCTTGTTTAGTACTGCTTGCATATGCAGTAGTGCTGTGAGAAAGGCGGCAATGGTAGTGATGGATTATGCATAAGATCCTTAAATAATGGATTACAAACAGGACACTAAGAGGTTATGTGTTTAGTTGCTGATGTAAGCATGAGAAAGGTGGATAATGTTGGATCAGGAAAGGAGAGGAACTAACAAATGCTGCTTTCTGTGAAAGTGCTGAGCAGTGAATCTGACAAAATTACCTCTTCAGTTCTCTTGACTGCTTCCTTCTCACTTCTCCCCACTCTAGCCTGAAATTCACATTTCCAGCTATCTGAGAGTGCCTGAAAGTCATTCTTAGAGTTCCCATTGTAATTATTTAAATGCTGCACTAAAACCCACATTTGGGCTGCTGGAGTTGAAATGGTCACATATCAATTTTCTAGGTGGCAGCATATTTGAAAATACAATTCAAACTATTGTACTTTATAAACCTGAGTGTGAAACACTCTATTCATTTATTTTAAAACAATTTGCTTTGTATTTTCAGAAGAAAAATTATTACACTCTTTTAAGAACAATTGTATATAATGCTGCTCAATTTTCTTTTCGTCTGAGAAAATTGGGCCCCAATTTTTTTTGGGACTCAGTTAGATGACATTTAGCATCAATTATTGGCTTAAAATTCATGATTTTATGCTTTTGGTGATAGTTTATGATTGGTG